CCTCCTTGGCGGGCTGGACCGGCCGAGGATCGCGCAGCCCAGAGACCGGGAGGAGAGTAGCAGCCCGCCCGCCCCCAGTTGCAGCTCCATCAGGGCCCTCCCCCTGCGGCGCGCTCCCGCGCGCGCACAGACTTGCACACTGTACCTCCGCTCCCGCCGGGCCTCGCCTGCCCCGCCAGTGCCGAACCCCCCTGGGGCCGGATGCCATGGGGAACAACTTCTCCAGTATCCCCTCTCTACCCCGAGGAAACCCGAGCCGGGCGCCACGGGGCCACCCCCAAAACCTCAAAGGTAAGACTCGGCCGGGCCGGGGTGCAGGTGGAGGGGCTGGGAGAGAAGGAGAGATATGACTGGGAAGACCGGCAGGTGCCACCTGTTGTGCAGATTTGGAGACACCACTTGCACATCTGGCCTACGAGGTGGGCTGGGGGGTGGGGAGCTGCCGCTGGAGATGGTGAAAACCCGCGAGGATTGCGTTCTGTGGGGTCTGCGCAGTTCTTCCTGCCCGCACTGGGAACGTCGCGGGAGTCCCCACAGGCCATCGAGCCAGGCGAGCACGCAGGGGTGAGGAGGGTTTTTGCTGCTTGGAGAGGGGAAGTGTGACCGGATGCTCAGGCCAGTCAGCTATGCTTCCCAGGGGAGGTACCGTGCTCCGTTTTCATCTGCTCAGGGCCTGAGCCGGGGAGGTCACACTGAAAGCACTAGTTGCTTTTGCAATTGGAGAGTCTTAAAAATCCAAGAATGACTTAGAGCAGTCGGGAAGAAGGCGTAGAGCCAGGGCCGCGGAAGCTGTTGACTTTGCATCTACTGAATTAGGAAGGTTTCTAGTTCCCTCAGATGTCCAGTTGGGCAGATGTCCATCTGACCCTAGAAAGAAGGAGGCCAGGCCACCTTAAAACAGAGGCATGTTTGCCAGGTCTTTGCTCTGTAAGTTCCCTAACCAGGCCCGGGTCTGACCCTGCAGCGTCTGCCCTTTGGAGAAACAGCTGGGTCCTCGTAGGCCCTCAGACCCCAGTGATTCTGTTCTGGAAGCTGCTGCTTTTTCGTCGCCGTCAGAACCAGCCAGCACTGTCCTGTGCATTTGGATGGCTAAAAGCTAGGAAGGGCAGCCTGAGTTTTCATTAAGAACGAGGGGCTTCGGGCTTCAGGCTTCGTCAGGCCCTGGTATTGAGATGGATAATAGTAAAACCCTTTGACAAAACACTGAAATTTACAAAGAGTTTTCACAAACACCTTTTTATTCGAGGAGTGCTTTGGGTCATCCCGGCTATCACACCCATTTTGGTTGAAGAAAACCAATGCTCCTTTGGGTGCCCAGAGTCAGTGGGTGGAGGCGGGGAGCCAGGGGACCACCATCCTGCTTTCTAACTTCAGCTCTTTCAGAACTTCTACTCTCACTTGGCTCAAGAAAGTCATGGGTTTGTTGTGTTTTTCTGGAAATTAATGTGATGGTACATGTCAAGATCCTTCTAAACTATACTCCCTGGCCTTATAACTCCTCTGCAGGAATTGATCCCAAGGAATGTAGGCAAATACGTATGTGCTCAGCCTGCACGTTCATGGCAGTGCTTTTTAGTGCTAGGAGAACTACCTCAGTGCCCAGTAATCATGATCGAGCCTCTTTGAAACTGTACTTTTCAGTGTTTTCTGAAGACTTGAGAAATGCTCATAGCATGATGATAGCTGGAAAAAATGACAGAAAGCTCTAAAAAACAAACAAAATTCCCAAACCTAAATGACCCTGGAAAAAAATTTCCAAAAGGTTAATAATGATTTCCTCTGGGTTGTGATTTCCACATAAGATTTTTTCTTTTTTATATTTTGCTCTTTCCTAACATTTATACCATAAGGAAGTGTTATTTATTTTTTTAAATAATGAGCAATAAACAGTGAGTATTAGCAGGTATAACACTGCTTCTGAGAGTTGGGAAGGATTCCTAAATGGTGGCGCCTCCCGTGGGTATCATCTAGTTCAACCTCTTCCCTTATAAGTGAGCAGAAAAAAAGAAAGTGATGGTGATGTGCCCAGTTACTTTGTGGGTCAGTCAGGAGAAGGTGGCAAGTCAGACTGAGGTCTTTAAGGACATGGGTTAGCTGGGGCCAGTGAGAAGACTTGGCTCCTTAATACTGAGAAGCTAGTCCTTGTGAAGATCCTGTCCCATCCTTGACCCTAGGGAAACCCACCTCTATTTGTATAAAATTTGGGGGCTGAGGGGATGTGAGTTCCCTGAGGCTGGGGTCCACACAAGCAGGCAGGACCCTGCCCCCATTCTGGCCCCTGTTTCAGCCTGACTCCCCGCTTGGATAGCCAGGAAAGCCCCCTTATGCTGCCTGCCTCTGGGCTTGCAGGGATCAAGTCTTGTGTGGCAGTAAGTGGCATAGAACAGGCCCCTACTTCTTTCTTCTCTCAGGCACCGTTTACCAGAAGTGGTCCCTGCCTTCACTCACACGCCTACTGGAGGTACACAGAATTTTGACTCTACTCCTTCCAACCCTGGGATGATGGACAGAGCATGCCCATGAAGGCCACCGGTGGGTGCCCTCTGTCCTTCACCCACGGTCTGCTGATCCTCATCCTCAGCCTGAATTCTCCCCACCCTGAGAGGCATCAGTTTTTTTTCCTGAAATTTAGTGTCCTCTCCAAATTCCTTTCTAACCGTGCTAGTACCTCCCAGGAGCGTCTCACATTTTGCAGTGGTCTTCCAGAATGACATTCTGATTGTGTTGGTATTGCCCTTGATATGGCTGTGATCTGTGGCTGTCTACCCAGAGTTCTGCTGGGACTGTTTCTGTGCTCACCCAGGAATCAGCACCCAGAAATTTTCTGGAAGCAGGGGACTCTTCATATTTCCTCTCCTTCTGTAACTGCATTCTCAATTAATTTCTCATTGATTTAATTAAAACAACTGGAAGGAGGGCCCTCCCTGGTGGCGCAATGGGTTAGGACCAGCACTGCAAGCTGGCTGCAGCCGCTTCAGTGTGAGTTCAATCCTCGCCCCGGAGCTGACCTACATGACGCGGCAGACCTCTCCTGACCTGCCTGCTGCTCCCCTCAGCAGTGTACTTTGTCAGTCGGCCTGTTTTTTTCCCCACTCTGTCTCTGCTGAAGCCTTTCACTGCCCCTGCACCTCTGGCCTGTACCCCAGTTCTGTATGCATAAGTAAATAAATCTTTAAAAACACAAACAAACACAACTGGAAGGAATCTGGTGTAACAGGAACCCTGGGACTGATTGGAGAGTTGAGAATGGACTGGCTGACATGAAGTGAGGCTTGTCCCTCACCTGTTGGGTAGTACACTTTGTCTTTTTCCTGGAGACTGCTGGCCTCACTCTGCTGCTATGATTCTCCCTGGGGTCTGAACAGTGCTGGTCTAGGAGTGCTGGGTTGGGGGCGCCATGGTGTAGGTCTGGTCATTACTGAGGAGTGCTCTGAGCCTGGGTCAGAGGACAGGGCTCCGGCATCCCTGAACATTCACGGGCTGAAGACCTACTTGGAAAAGCAAGATGGAGGGAGGGAACAGGATCATGAGTTTGTGTGGGCTGAAACCTCACATGTGGGCAGAAGTCAGAAGTGGGGGCCCAGGGGAGGATTTAAGCTGGACCCAGAGAGAAATGCAGGAAGTAGCTGGCGATTGTGAAAGGGGCTGGTGTGGGGTGTGGGAGAGTACACAGCACAGGATTGGGAATGGGATATTCTTAGTGAGGGGGTGACGGGGGCCCGGGGTTCGTGCTTCATGCAGGCAAGCATAGCGAATAGGCCTTGCTTTGTCCTCCAGTGTCCGTCTGCTTGGTGTTAAGTGTTGAGGGAAAGGTAACTAGGAAAGCCTTTGGGGCGGGTTACTCAGCTCATGTGCTCACCCTGCAGTGGGGGCTGGTCAGGCCACCTCCCATCCATTTTTTATCGTTAACAAAATGTACATAATATAAAATTTGACATTTTAAAGCAAACAATTCAGTGGTGTTTATACAATATTGTGCAACCATCATGTACATCTAGTTCCAGAACATTTCCATCACCCCAAAAAAGGAAAGCCCATCCCCCTTATTAGCAGTCCCTCCTCATAACTCCTCCCTTGAGTCCCTGGCAGCCACTCATCTTTACAATGGAGTCATACTGTATTTGTCCTTTTGTGTCTGGCTTCTGTCACTCAGGATAACATCTGTAAGGAGGTCTCTTTGTTCCTTTTCATGGCTGAATACTATTCCACTGCGTAGCTATGCCCCACTTTGTTTATCCACTTGTCGGTTGCTGGGTGTTTGGGTTGTTTCTGCCTTTTGTTTATTGTGGATCTTGCTGCTATGAAGATTTGTATTTTTGTTTGAACGTCCGTTTTCATTTCCTTGGGGTGTGTACCGAGCAGTGACTTCCCTCTTTTCAACATTGGTGCTTTTAAACAGGATGTTTCACTGCAGCTGCTCTGCCCCTTTTTGGGTGTGATGTCCGCCAGACCCTGTTTCCAGTCTCTTTTCTATGAGGGCTGAGGCTTCTGGTCAGATACGGGGGGTACTTTTACGGTCAACGGAGGGGCCTTGCTCTTGTTCTCTGAGGTGGGCAGCATGAACCACAGCACTTGCCTGCATGTGCTGCCCTTTCCTGTCGCTTGAGTGGGGGTGGGCGTGGCTCCTCCTGGTCTTCTCCCAGCCTTCTCATCTTTCTGCGGCTTTCCTGATCTGTCCGTCCCTCACCCCAGAGATGGGCATAGCTGGATTTTGGTGGCCAGTCTGCCCCCGATGCTGTGTGTGGTGCTGCCAGGGCACTGCTCTGAACACACGTCTTTCCTCATGTCCCTCCCGCAACCGCCGTCAAGGCTGGGCCCGGAGAGACGGCCACCGGCGGACATCCCAGGCCTCCACACTCAGACACCACCACAGCTGTGTCTGGGCTTCTTGCGTGGTTGTCATGACACTAGCAAGTTGGGTGAGGTCATCCAGCTCTCTGGCCAGCGATGCAGCAGACAGACTTCGGCAGGGAGGTAGGGGTACCTGCCGGTCTCCTTGGTCACCTCAAGACGTCAGAGAGATGTGCTCAGGCAGCCCCTTGAAGTTCATGCTTCAAGGAGGCAGATGTCCTGAGGCTCCATCCTGCATGCTTGATGGATGTGACCTTTGAACCCCGTGTCAATCATAACAATATATTATATAGCCAGCACGTGTAAGGGCGTTACTGTGTGCCACGTATTTACATTTCTATTAATATTCCACTGGCCAACTACTGAGGGAAGCAGACTTGTCACCATTTTAGAGGTGGGCAAAGGAAGACTCAGACCAGTTAAGGACTCACCCCAGACCT